TGCCTGCTGGTAAAAACACATATACATGTAAAATACACTTTTTTTTGGGGGGGGGGGGGTGATACATAGTATCTCTTGTTTGGGTAAAAGCCTGGTTTTGGCTTGAGCAAAACCCACCTGAGACGGCCAAGAGTTCCTCTGGGCTTCAGCCCCTCCAACCACGCGGGCATTAGTTTCCGGAAAGTCCTCGGTACTGTGTCCTTTGTGGGGCAGAGAGTGATGACTAAGCGTGGGTCTGCCAGGGCGGGGGTGGGGCGCGGCAGCTAGGCTGTGAAGACTGTTAGCTTTGTCTGCAGATTTACGGCTCTCCCCCAACACGATGAGGGGCCCAGCTCTGAGTTATCTGTGCCCCTTTTGCTTCTTTGGAAAACAGCGCCTCAGAGCGCTTTCTCTGGGGTGTCTGCATTGCCATGAAAGTCCTACTCAAACCACTAGGCTAGGGTCCCACTGGTTCCTAGCCTTGTCCCCGCTCAAGGTCACCGCTCAGCTTGAGGAAACCCCTCCGGGGCTTCAGCAGGATTCTCCAGGAGCTACAGTGAACACCCAACCAAGCAAGGGCATGGGCTGGTGGGGAACTCCCAAGGGTCTTCTTCTCTGCCTCTTGACGCACCCTCCTAGCTGGCTCCTGCATGGCCAGGCAGTGCTCCTCAGCGCCTGTCTTTGCTCGAGGAGAGTAAGGTTTTTGCTAGACTGCCGGGCACAGCTTTGTGCCTTCCTCTGAGATAGAGAGCTAGCCTGGGCTTAGAGACTTTCTGACCCACCCTGATCAAGCCCCCCTCTCCCAGAACTTGGGCCAAATGATCCACTTACCATACAGGACCAGGGAAGCAAACACCAGGAAGCGCAACATGATGTGGAGAGAGTAGACCACTACCCCCTTGCCATGAACCGAACCCTCTTTATACACCTCTTATCAGCAGCTTTGCTGACCTTCCCTCCTGCCAGCTGGGCAGGGCTGTGGGGAGAAGGCAGGGAAAAGCACAGGTGCCGTGAAAGTACAAACGAAAACGTTTTTTAAAAGTCAACTCATTTATCTGATATTCAGAGACAGAACAAGGTCGGCGCTCAGTTAACCCGAGTGGACTGAGTTGACCTCGGTTGAGATGCATCCAGCAAATCCTTAGAGGGCCTTGGAGATGGTTGAGAGGTGAAGCCGTTTGCCGCCAAGGTGAACACCCACACTCAATCCCTGGAACTGGCATGGTAGAAAGAGTGGATGGATTCCTGCAAGTTGTCCTCTGACCGCCACATGGATGTGCTCCTGCACACGCACACGCACATGGCACACACCACAAATGCATACATAGGTAAATATAATAATAAAAAATTCAAGATGAAGAGTGAGGATTGACTTTTTTCCAGATGTGCCCCGTGTTGTCAGAACCATTGTCCCACTGCCCACTGTGACACTATAGATGCAGAGACCTGTCCTGTGTACGTAGGGACTGTAGTTTGGGGAGAAGGTGAGGCATGGCACCTTCTTTATGTCCAAAGAGGGAGATGGGGCTTGCCTACAGCACATAGATGTAGGCTGGAACCCGGGAACAGGGCGAAGATGATGCTATGGAGAGGAAACGGGTCTGGAAAGGCTCCAGGGGGGATGCTACAGAGCTCTCAGGGCAAGAGCATGTGGGCAGGAGGGCAGAGAGCACACCGGGGGAAGGACCAGTAGAGGAAGAAGGTCAGAGGGCGGTGTGCCCCAGAGAGGACCATGAACTGGGCACAAGATGGCCGGCCTCAGAGCAGAGGACTGTGGGAAGTGTAGCTTGGAAGCTGCTAGGTTTCCCCGGGGCCCTTGTTACCTTTGAACATGAGTCCAGGCTTTGGGGCTGCAGGGCTAGGGAAGGTGGGAAAGGGGCTTGCAGGAACCTATCCCCTGAGCCTTCAGGATAGTTGATGCCCAGGTAGCTTGAAGGTCTCCCTCTGCAGCCCACTTCCAAGTATCCAGAAACAGAGGCAATCTCAGGGAGAGGGATGAGCTGTCTGGGGAAACCAGGCCTCCTCCTCCTCCTCCTCCTCCTCCCTCCTCCTCCCACCTCCTTGCCTCTCTAGAGATTGGCAGGCAGTTGCTGACCAGGATTCAGTGTTCAAGGAGCCTCTTGATGTGTCTAGCCAGACATCACAGACTCCAGTGTCCTCAGCCTTTAAGGGCAGGATCAACTTCACATCTATCTCTGCCGTTGGCCTGGTTTAGAGAAACCCAGTCTGTATGCACTTGAAAACCAGTCTCCTGCCAGGGGTGCGGGTGTGCATCTGCAACTGTAGCAGGGGAGTTCAGGGCCAGCTTGTGCTACATGAGACCCTTTCATAAACAAAAACAGGGAAAAAGCCCAAGGAGTCCACTCAACCCCTTACAACTGGTATTTCATCTCTTTGTTTTGTTTTTTTTCTTTGGTTTTTCTTTTTTTTTAATTAATTAATTAATTTATTTTTATTTATGTGTACACTGTTGCCGTCTTCAGACACCCCATAAGAGGGCATCAGATCCCATTACAGATGGTTGTGAGCCACCATGTGGTTGCTGGGAATTGAACTCAGGACCTCAGTCCTGAGCAGTCAGTGCTCTTAACCACTGAGCCATCTCTCCAGCCCCCTTCTTTGGTTTTTCGAGACAGGGTTTTTCTATGTGGTCCTGGCTGTCCTGGAACTCACTCTGTAGACCAGGCTGGCCTCGAACTCAGAAATCCACCTGCCTCTGCCTCCTAAGTGCTGGGATTAAAGGCGTGCGCCACCACCGCCCAGCTGGTATTTCATCTCTTAAACTGGTCAACCTTTCTCTTTTCCTTGAGGTAGGGTCTGGTCTTGAACTCAGATTCCTCTGCCTCAGCCTCCAGTCCCTGAAGTTGTAGGCGCCCACCACTACACCACGGCTTCTTTAGACTCTCTCATTACCATTTGTTGGTTTAGTTGTAGACTATTGAAGCCTTGGTTGGCTTCAATGCCAAGACATTGCTTTGGGTTTCTTTTTTTCTTCAAGTTCAGTCATTCCAATCCTAGAACACACCCTTTTTGATTGAACAAACACACAAAGGAAGGCACAAGGCTTTGTGGTACAGCTTATCACAAAACTTCATTTCTGGTCATAAAATTTCCCACAAAGTTTGGGAAAACCCATGCTGATACAGAGGAAGTTTGAATAGATTAGGTCAAATGGTGAAGTAATTAAGGTAGAAAAAGAACAATTATTCGATACTGGTTTGTTGCTTTATTTAGTGGTTTATTTAAAACACTGCTTATACTGTCTATTTGCCAAGCATGGCTTCACTTGCTACCTGGAATGGAATGAGGTCTTTGCTTTAACAACCTGTTGGCTTGCCAGGGAGGCTTTGGTAAAACCTTGCTTGCTTGCATGAGCCACCTTGTGGTTTTAGAAAATGAGGATGTAAACCACACCCAGGACAAGAGGCCTTTCAGGAACTGTCCTGGTTTCGGACTACCTGTGACAGCTCCTCTCTTCCACTCTCACTGGTGTCAAAACACTTATTCTAGAAAGATTCCTGAAGCAACGGTACAGCAACTCATAAGAACAAGAAATAGTGCAAGCCTGTGACCCCAGCATGGGGCAAGGGAGGCCGGCATGGGCTACACAGCAAGATCCTGTCTGGGAAGAAGGGAGGAAGAAAAGAGAAACAGTTCTGTTCTGGGGTGGATGTGAGGAAGCCTGCCAGCACCACAGTGGACACCTTAGCTGGGTATAACAGAATTGGGCTGAGGAG